AAAGAGCCCAAGGCTCTTGGCAAGTGATGTAATGGGGCTTCGCTTAAAGGGCGACCGGCTCTTCCTCCCTCCTCCTCCTCGTTACCCCCACACAAACCTTCACAGGCATCTTCTGATTCGCTTGTAAAATTAAGCGGTCTGGGGGACGTGCCTGTTCCCCCGCAGCCCTGCACAACCTGCGGGGCCGGGGGGAAGGAAGGAGCAAAGCAGTGGGTGAGAGCACGCTGCGAGAGCGGTTTGTAGCTGGAAAGAGAAACCGAATGGAAACCGTCGCTGCCCACAGCTCTGCTGAAGTGTCAGAAAACTACTCGTAGCAAAAAGCAAACACATGCTCTCTCCCTTTTTACAGCCTCCGGCACTAGAGGAAAGCAGCCAGTCCCCTTAAATCTACAACCGGCTAAAGCAGCAGGTCATGAGTCTTTCCAGCGACCTGGCAGGCTTGCAGTCATGGGTTATGAATTGAGGCTTGTTACAGAGGAATTGTATCCCCCAGACCGCCCCCGTCGCCTCTGCCACCTCCCCGGCCTGGAGAGGAGGGCCTGGCCAAATCCCAGCCACGCCGCGTCTGGCTTCTGGGCACGACGAGTTCCCCAGAGGAACACAAAGGAATGGCTGGCACGAAGCATCCTCAGCCCAGGGAACTGGCAGCTTTACATCAGCTTTTACTCAATGCAGATGATAATGATGAGCAAGCAGAGCTCCAATTCAAAACCTGGCCGCAACCAACAGCTACTGCCCCTTCTGCGGCGGTGGCACAGCTCCCCGCAGCCCGGGGTGCTGCTTCTCAGCGCTGCGACGGTGCCTTTCCGCCCCAGGGGACGAGGTCCCCTCCACAGCGAGCCTGGACGCCGCTCCCAGACCGGCTGCCAACCCCTGCCACATCAGGGATGGGGCACGGAGCCTGCGGAAGGAAAGACCCAGTAAAACGTCACTGTTCTCTAAACCCAAAGAAACGAGTCTCCTGGAGGCTGTGGACCCAAGGGCAGCGGCTGTCACCCCACTAGGAAAGGGGAATGAACTGAGCACAGCACGAAGAGCTCCAGCTCTCCTTGCTCCATCCCCACACCGAGCCGCTCAGTGCCTCGGTTTCTCTGCCCGCACCGCAGTTAGGACACTGGGAAGCTGCGTTAGGCTCTGGACAACGCTGTCCGGATAAACATGTAGAAAAAGGCACTACGACAATAGCAACAAACCAACAGACGTTATTTCTTCCTCGGTTCCTCTGCAAGCAGTAAAATTTGCCCCTAAGAGAGAAAAGCAATAGAAAACACTCTTTGAAGACAAGACACAGCAGCCCACAGGGTGCTGCAGGGGCTGAATAACCTCCTCACGCCTGACTGCTGACACAGCGGCGCAGGGAGAGCAGCCCCCGCTCTGAGACGCGGCAGCGCAGCTTCATTCCCCGGGGTGAAGAAAAGACCCATTGTTCCGGCTTTCTCCCCTTGAGTTTCCAGGGTTTGTGCTTCGAACAGCGGGCAGAGCACAGCGGGACGAGCCGAGGACACGGCGGCGCGGCAGAGCCTCCTCCCACCCCTGGGGTCGGTCGGTGTCCTCCGCTCTCGGCAGAGATTGTGTTGGGTGGCGGGGTTTTTGGGACAGTCATAATTCCCCCCCTCAAGTCACATGCCCAGCGCTGGGGCTTGGAAAATGTCTTGACAATACTGTAGGGTGGAGAAAAGTTGCGTAAGTCACTGAAAGGGATAACAGGGACCCTCGTTTTCCAGCTTCCACCCCCTTCCTGGGGCTATGCTGTATCACTCAGCTAGAAACCCTCCTTTCCAGAGCACACTTTTCAATTTACGCAACACTTTTCCTCGCAGAGGACACGGCAACGTCCTACAAATTTCGATGCCACTAAGGTAGTAAGCTGACTAGCGTCTGGGCCAAAAATGGGAAACATTTACCCACTGCAGAGAAAAGGCAGACAGCCGTTAAGGACGGAGGCGACACCTGATGAACATCACCAGATTCAGAGGCAGCTTTCACACAGAACAGATTTTGCTCGCTCACGGACTTACATTAGCTGACTTCAGGGACTTCAACTCCCAGCAGCGAAGATGGCTCAGGGTAGTTTAGGGCTGCAAGTGTCTGCCTAGGCTTGCCACAGCTATTCTGGATCATCTCGGTGCGTGAATCCAGGTGTGCTCTTAGTTTTATCTATTCAAGTTC